CAGATTTTTTTTTTTTAGAGATATACCAAACATAGCCTAGAATGATCGTCAATGAAAGTAATAAACCATCTAGCACCTAAAAATTTTTTAACTCGTGAGGGACCCCATATGTCACTGTGTATTACTGATAATGGTGCTGAATGTTTGTATGATTGAGATGGAAATGATACACGGTGATGTTTGGAGAGTTGACAAATTTCACATTGAAAAGAAGTGGGGTCTTTATTATTGAAAAAAGATGGAAACAAATTTTTCAGATACGGAAAGCTAGGGTGGCCGAGTCTATAGTGCCACAACATAACATTATTTTCACATAAAGAAACAGAAAAGGATCTGCAGACTAGATTTTGTCTACTTGAGTCTTCCTTGTCTAGGTAATAAAGCCCTCCACACTCTTTAGCATTGCCAATCATCTTCCTCGAAGCCAGTTCCTGAAATTGACATGAAGAAGAGCTAAACTTAGCAACACAATTTTGATCGTGGGTGAGTTTGCTAATGGATAAAAGGTTGCATGAAATAGAAGGAACATGAAGTACAGACTTTAGGACCCAAATTTTTGGACAAAATTATTGAACCTTTCCCTGCTACTGTGGCTAACGAATCATCAGCAATTTTTACTTTCAAGTTACCAGCACAAGGAGTATAAGAGGAGAAGAGTGCGGAACAACCTGTCATATGATCTGAGGCACCAGAATCTATAACCCATGGGGTTCTGTCCTCGGTTAGCACACTGAAGGACTAAGGAAAATTACCTTTCTGGGCAATAGAGGCAGATGGAAGAGAGGCAGAATTCAGGAGTTTCATAAGGTTTTCTAGTTGTTCCTTATTAAGGGAAACATGAGCACTCTCTAGTATTGATTCCTCAATGGCCGTTTGAAGAGCTCTGCTAGTCCCTTGGTCTGGTTGTCCGTTTTTCAGATGAGGGGGTTTTCCGTGCAGTTTCCAGCAAGTTTCACAGGTGTGTCCAGTTTTTTTACAATGGGTGCACCAGGGTCTATTTCCCTTTTTATTTCGAGAGTCAATCCCACCATTAGAAAGGTGGAGAACCTATTGCTTCTGACTGCAAGGGCTAATGATTCTGACTCAGTGACAGGAGCCTCTCGGGTTTCTTTTCCCAGCATAACACTCTTGCTTTCCTCCCTGCGGACCTTGGAGAATACTTCACGAGTGGATAGCAGGACTTAACGTCGAAGAATTCTACCACAAACCTCATCAAGTTCGTTGTTCAAGCTAGCCAAGAATGCGAAAACACGATCCTTCTCAATCATCTTTTTGAATATGGCAATGTCTTGTGGACAATGCCATTCATAGTCGTAAAATAAATCCAGCTCCTGCCATAAGGTTCTGAGCGTATTATAGTATTGCAACACGCTCAGATCGCCTTGTTTCGTGTTGCGGATGCGTGTGGTAATTTCATAGACCTGGGCAGAATTTTCCAGATCAGAAAAAGTTTCCTTTGCAACTTCCCAGATTTCTTGAGCAGTGACAAGGAACATATAAGTCTTGCTGATAGTTGGCTCCATCGAATTGATCAGCCATGACATGATCAAGGCATTCTCAGATTCCCAGGTCTCAATGGATTCGAGACCTTCTTTTGGTTTCTGTGTAGCTCCCGTTAGAAACCCAGTTTTTCCACGATCCCGGATGAATAACATGACCAACTGGGACCATTGGAGATAATTTTCTCCATTGAGTTTGTGAGTGTTGATTGGTTGAGAAGAAAGATTGTCATGAGTATTTGACAGGAGAGTAGGTTTCGAAGATGATTTCGCCGATCCAGAATTGAGCGACTGATTACCTACGCTGGATGTGCCAGACATGGTGGCCGTTTGATTTTTCCGGTGATCAGATGTTGGCTCTGATACCATGTGGAAACCGGTAGGTTTTGGAATACCTAGCCGTCAGTCTCATATATTTTTTATAAGAGGTAATAAGCCTCTTTTATATACAATTAAGTTACAATTAGTTAGAGAAAAAATAGGAAACTAACTCCTAATTTATAGCTAGCTACAAATCAGCAACTAATCTACCATACAGAGATTACATATACCTAAACAGTAGGAAATAAACGCGCTTTTCAACAAGTTCCTTCTGTCTCCATCTACTTCCGGGCCTTTGGAAGTCAGTGCTGAGCTTTCAGTTTTAGGCGTGATTTCTGACTTGTTCATCATGACGTTTCTTCGCGCCTCTTCTCTCCTTACTTCCGAGAAGACCTCTCGTATGTTTGGCAGTGGTTTTCGACTTAGAATTCTTCCTCGTACTTCATCTAATTCACGGTTAAGTCCTGCAAGAAACATGTACACTCGTTCATCTTCCTCTCTCTTCAAGTATCGCACACTATCTTTAGAACTTTCCCATTCGTCCTCATAACATTGATCCAATTCTTGCCAAAGTGTCACCTTTTCGTTGTAGTATGTTGTCACCTCCTTATCTCCCTGCTTCAAGTTCCATAGCCGAGTCTTGAGTTTGAAGATTAGGGAGGGGTTTTCTAAATCCGAATATGTGTCACGAACGGCTTCCCATAACTCCTTGTCAGTGGGAAGAAATGAGAATGGTTTCCTTATTGCCGGCTCCATAGAATTGATCAGCTAGGCTGTAATCATGGTGTTTTCGGATCTCCATGCTTTCAGTTTGGAATCATCTGTTGGTTTCTTCACCTCACCAGTCAAGTGTCCTAGTTTCCCTTTTCCATCTATAACAAGTTTCACCGTCTGTGCCCATTCGAGGTAGTTCTTTCCATTCAACTTGTGAGTCGTTAGTTGTAGGGAATTCTGAACTGCTACAACACTCTCGGCAACTTCCCCGGTCAATAAGGAGCCTTTAACTGGCCCGGTCATAGCTGTCTTAACCATTGGCACTTCTAGATCAGCCACAGCTCTGATACCATGTAAGTTTTGAAGGGAAAAACTCTTCTATTATTATTGATTTAATCGGCAAAAAATAGGTATAAATAGCCCTAGGAGTGCCACGGATAAAATCCTATCCACTCAATAACATCTATCCTAATAACATTCAAATTTAAACTTATCTAATCCCAGGATAACGAATCTGTTTGAAACAAATTTGTTTTATTTGACTTTAAGCATATCCTAATCTAAAACTTATCTTAATCAACCCTAACTAATTATCTCTTATCTTTTCGACACAAATAAATTCCTATGATTTTTGAAATTGTTTCCCATTTCCTTTCAGCTCTTGGATCTACATAAGGATAACTTTCTCTCGACTCTTTGCCTTTATTTTTGTAATCCAAGCCTGATTTGCATTTTATGATCTGTTTGTTTTAGGAAGAGAGTTGGAGGATTAAAACTAGAAGATTTACCAGGGTTGGAGGCTTTACAGATTCCAGGTGTGATATAACGTTTTCAATTCTCTACAGATATTCAGCTCAATACTTACCTGTTTGATCGACTAAAATGTTAGAATTTTAAGTTTATGAATTCTGATTGTAGTTTAGTAGCTGAATGAGCCATTAAATAAGCATTTTGATATTAGAAAACAAGTTAGGATGCTGTCCGTTCACCTACCAGCTTGTGTAGATATTGTTCATCATTTTATTATTTGTTTGTATTTCCTAATAGTTTTTGCCATGTTTTTGTCGGCTAATACGTTGTTCATATATTGTATCAGGAACTAGTGATGGCCAGACAAAAGTTGTTAGAGAAGGGGACAATGGTGTGGCATATGCATGGAATTTGAGAGAACACAGATGGGATAAGGTAATTTACTTTCTTGCGATAGTAATTACTAAGGCATTTGTCTCATCCTGTTAGTTTAGAATACTCTGCCTTTTTCAGTATGTAACCAAGGATTTAATCATCTGAATGCTTCATTGATCCATGGGCTTTCTTTCATTTGGTTTAAGATCATTGTTAGGGGCCTCAAGTTTATATGGGCAGTATAGTTGGCTAATTTCATTTCATCAACTAATTTCATTTCATTTCATTAATTCGTTTTTTATTTATTTTGGTGAATACACTGTTGTTTTCCTTTACTACTAACACGAGGGAGACTTTTACTACTATGGCCCCGTTCGCTTTGCGGATTCGAGTTTTCAATTCGAGCTGAGACGTGACATTTTCTGAGAGCTTTTAACTGTAGCAGAAAAAGTTAAATATGACATTTTCTGAGAGCTTTAACTGTAGAAACTTAAAACTGAAAACTCAAATCGGTAAAATGAACGAGACCTATATTATTTTGGTTTGACTGTGGTCGGTAACTAGAAGGAAGGGGGTGGAATTTCAGTTTTCTATTCGTAGAACTTGAAAAAAAAATTCAGTTATGTTTCTTCTTTATTTGCCTATGCTTTTACTTTTCTATTCATAATAATTCTAAAGTCAATTATGTTTCTTCTTTATTTGCTTAGTCCTTTAGCTCATACATAACAGAATAATTTTCATGTTATATGCGTATGTTTTCTATTTAGATTGGTGAAGTTGTGGATGGACCAGATGATGGCATGAAGCGTCCTGTTCTTGATGGAATAGAATATGATTACGGTCAGCATAATAACTCTGTGGAAATTGTAATATGCTATATCTTCTTTTGTTAGGTTTTAAAATTGTTTATACCCTTCTTGTTTAGTGTTTGATGTCGACATCGGAGATGGTGAGCCCATCCGTAAGTTGCCCTACAACCGATCGGGTACTTCTCTCATTCTTTTATGTTTTCCCTATATTTTTTAGGCTATGTTATTTCCCAAGTTGTGTAATCTCTTTGTTCATTTTTTTTTTCTTTGAGAAAATAGATGTAGAATAACGTGAAAAGATATGGAAGTTTTTTGTGTTCCAAGTACTTTATTCCTAGTTCTGCTTATCAGATAAATGTTTCTCGTGAATACATCTCAAGTTTCTCAAAGGGTGATATTTCATCTAATTTTACGAACTTATATTAGTGAATGTGTGTGATTGTGATTTTTTTAATGGAACTGGGAATTTATATTTAATATTACCTGGATCTTTAAAACACGTGTCTAGAAGAACCTCTTCTTTTGTATGATTTGTGCATTCAACTGTTGTTTTAAAAAATAAGCAGAAATACATATATTTTGATTCAGATAATGCATATGACGCTGCTGATAAGTGGCTTCTGAAGGAGAATCTACCTCTATCCTACCGGCAACAAATTGTGGAGTTCATCCTCCAAAATACTGGACAAAAGGACTTCGCACTTGATCCATCTTTTCGTGACCCATTTACTGGCTGTGAGTATCATGCCATTTTCCATTGTTCCTTTGCATAAAGATAAGAAGTTCTTGATGTGTTTTATGATGCTTCACCTTAGTCTTGACTTGAGTACTCATGTGTTTTTCGTTTCAGCAAGCGCTTATGTTCCTGGAGAATACTCCAACATGTCCGGTAATTTTGATAATTCTGTCAATAGCAGATTAATTACCTTCCTAACATAAGAATCTCAACGTGTAGCTCTGATCTAATATTTGATATTCCACAGCTACTGCTGCAAAACCAACTTTCAAGCATATTCCTAAGGTATGTTTTTAGCAGTTTGATTTTTAGTATGTAGGATTGCTAAATGATCCATTGTCAATGGTCTTCAAAACTAATTCTTTGTTCAGAATGCTAATTAGCATACAGTTCAGACCAAAATTCCAAACTCTGTTATATGCTGTTGATAATGAGTAGCTCATTTAAATTTTTAGGATAATTTAAAGAAACTAAGATAAATTCCTGCTTGAGTTCTTAGAATAGGATGGCTGCAAACTGCATTTACTGATATTTTTGGTCTCAGGTTGTTTTTTTCACCCCTAACAAAATACAGAGTACATCTCTTAGGAAATTATTTTTGTCATCTGACAGTCTTTTCTTCAATCTTATTTTCAGAAAGGAATGCTTGTTTTTGATGTAGCTCAGTTTGATGGGATCCTCAAGAAGATTACGGAGTTTAACAATGCTCTGCTCTCTGATCAGGTAGGTTCTTTATTTCTGTTATTACACAAGGTAGGTTACTCAAGGGGAAAGAATGTGGAACAATGTGGAGACAATTTAGATTTTTCATTTTGAGGCTCTCAAATATTGAATTTTCTTTTACGTATCCTTATAAATGCGAATATTTCTTTTGAGACTTTCATATTAAAAATGGTAGTTAGTATAAGACTGTTTAAAGATGACGAGACTTGCTTAAAGTGAAAGAACACATGATCTAATTGTCCCGAATATATATAATTTCTGTGCAATAATTCTCGACTCTGAGCAGATTGTACTATTTGTTCTGCTAGAACGTCTTCAATTGCCTTTCATTGAATAGAATTGTCCTTTTCAATTATTATTTTCTTTATTTTGTTTTAATTTTATATTGGGTGTTTCGAAATTTTGACTTTTGGTATGTTTCTAATGAAACGTATGGATTTCATTTAGAAGGAATATTGTTGTTGAATAAATTAGTCATATACTTATATTTGCAACATTATTCTTTCCTAGCTTTGAGGTAGTAATTTGCGCTAATTCTAAGTTGAAGGGTACTCTTTCCTTATTATCTACTATAGTGGGTCGGCCAATCTATTGTTGGTTCCTTGTTCTTTCATGTTTTCCAATCTGCATGGTTTTCTGTTTCAAAGCTGTAAAGTTATTAACATATCACTTAATGAAAAAAGATACTGTTCTTTTGAAGGAAAAGAAGCACTTGGCTTTTTCAGACCTTGAGATTTCCAGACTGGGTGCTTTAGTTAATGTTTTGAAGGACACATCACATTACCACTCTAGTAAATTTGCAGACACTGATGTTGCTGTGTTGCTGAGATTGCTAAAAACATGGCCAATTACAATGATATTTCCAGGTAGGAGTACTAGACTTCTGAAGGTTTTCTATCTAGTTCATAACTTTGGTTGTCTGTCTTTCCGCCTTCAGCATGTTTTTAGTCAGTAGATAACCTTTTCTGTCTTTGAATATGCTTCGTCTCATGAAACTAAGTTTCCAATTGAGGAAGCAGAACCAAATGTGTTGTATTTGCAGATTTTGCTCTCCATTCTTTTTATGATGATTTATGCTCATTATGTTAAATGCTCATTATCATTTTGCTTGATCATGTCTTCTATTTGCAGTTATTGATACTCTCAGGATGCTCATCCTGCACCCAGATGGGGCCAATGTACTTCTCCAGCATGTTGAAGCTGAAAATGGTACTGAAGTTAGAAATATAGTCTTGCTAAAGTTGGGTTGAAAAAAATACCACGAAGAACTCTTTTTTCTACAAATACTTGCTACTATGATGTACTTATATCTGTTTAGAGTTTCTACTGATTTACTCTTCTCTTACCAGATATTTTAATGGAAATAATTAAAAAGGTCTCCGAGAACCCTTCACTTCCTGCAAATCTCTTGACAAGCATTCGTCTCTTCTCCAATCTATTCAAGAATTCTTGCTATTTCAACTGGTTGCAGAGACATCGCATTGAGGTTACAATACTTCTATGCTATCAATTTGTCAATTTGAATTACCGAGGGACCTGAAAAAAGTTGGTTCATGGGAAGTAACCACAAAGCTAGGACTTTTTATAAGGTTTTTGATGACGTGTAACTCCAAATACTTGTACCATCTGGGCTAGAAATATATGATTACAAGTTACAACCATATGTGGTGACTTCATTCTAAACTAATTTTTGCAGGTTCTTGACGCATTCTCTAGTTGTTATTCTTCTCCAAATAAGAATTTTCAATTATCGTATTCAACCTTGATACTGAAGTAAGTCCATTGTTGACTGTCACTAGCAATAAAAGTATTTTATCAACTCCAAAATACTAGAGGATATTTGTCTTTAGGGAGAACCGTGAGAAGAAAAGAATAGATGCAAATGTATTTATTTCCTCTTATCTGTTTCCATCAGATTTTTTTTTTTCTTTTACATTTCCTTCTGTTTTATTTTCCTTTTGTTGTTTTCTGGATCATTAGGTTTTTTCGGTGCTGGGGTTTAAAGTGTTTTCGTGATGATTTATTCTGATGTTAATTTTGTCTTTTGGGGCAATTGATAGTTATGCTGTGCTGTTGATTGAAAAGAAAGATCTAGAAGGCCAGTCTCAAGTTCTTTCAGCAGCGCTTGAGGTATGACTTACTCTGTTACAGTTTTACCTTGTAACTGTCCTAATTTTTTGTGTCTTGATTGTTGGTTATGTGGCCTCTTTTTATCATGAATCTATCGCATGAGATTCGTCATTTCTGAGATGGTTACTTTTATTTTTGGTGGATTTTTCACAATGACTTATGATACCTTACGCTGTATGAGTCCATTATGGCTTCTGCAGATTGCGGAGGAGCAAAATTTAGAAGTTGATTCAAAATTCCGGGCTTTAGTTGCAACTGGATCACTGGTACATTTTAGATTCTAAGCTTCGGTGAAACAAATGCTTAATCATCCGTGCCTTGCGTCCTCGCTGTTTGAAGACTATGAACTGTCTGTTGCTATTTCATTGATGTTCTTTTCTTTCTTTCTTTTTTTTTTTTTTGATAGATGCTTGATGGTCTCGTTAAAAGAATAGCTTTAGATTTTGACGTAGCAAACATCGCTAAAGCAGCAAAGGCTTCCAAAGACAGCAAGGTTTCCGAAGTCGGAGCTGACATCGAACTCTTAACTAAAACAAGTTAAAATTCTGGCAAGTAATTATCCCTTCAATTGTCATGATGTTAATGTTATCCGTCTACTCTAAAACTTGTCTTTTGAAATTTTTCAGTCTGAAGGGCTCTTTTTTTTTTTTTGGGACAAGCTTAACATGGCTTACTCTCCTTTTTCTACAGGTTTTTGCACAATATTCAACAGAAAGAAGACATTTAGGAAATCAACGCAACAAGAAATGTGTTTTTGTGATTTCATACAGATGACAAAGGATTTTCATTGGTTGAAGAGTTTGCCAGGGATTATGAAAAGGCAGTCTAGCAAGATTTAGAATAGACAAGATCAAGTTTGTTTACCTGCAAAAAACTATTTATATTTATTTTTGCTTCGACAGCTACTTTTAGATAAGAGGAAAAAAAAAGCGAAACTATTGGTGCCAAGAAATATCACTCTTTTGATATCCACCTGGCATAAATTAACCTGCAGAAGAATTATCTTAGTGCCCTTGATTCGACATGAATCCGAATGATCCGATACATCACTAGTGTAAAGACTATGATAAGCATGAAAACTCAAGTAACTTGCTTCGACTAAACCAAGAGTAATAAGGGTAGAAAGTAACATACTCAGATAACTCCATGTGGTATGCGGGATTGCCCTGTATGGTCCGACCATCGGATTGATTCGAATTCAAGACTTTGTGGAGGAGTAAGCGATCTTTACTACCCCATAATTTTAGGCAAAGTTGCCATATACTATTTTTTTTTTTTTTTTTTTTTTGGAGAAAATGAGACATAATTTTTTAGATTGTATGAATCTTAATTTTTACTATTTATTCTTAATTAATACTATTTTAATCAAATATTATATTATATTAGTCGAAATGGTATTAATTAAGAATAAAAGATAAAAATTAGACTCATACGTTTTTAAGAAAAAGTTCAGTAAATTGTAAATTTCTCCATCTTTTTTTCCTCTCTCTGATGCTTCAGAAATACTTTCTGTACCCGATTGACACTTTATTGTCCAGCTATAACTAGCAAAAGTCTTGTGACAGTTTTCTTTCCCAATCTTTTGAACGAACTCAATCGATGGAAGCCAAAATTCTATGAATAAATAAATGACTCCCAAAAGTAGTATTCAATTTCACTATTTCCATTTGGCATAAAACTTTTGGTCACCCCAAAGCAACATTCTATTCAATGGTATCCTAACATTCCTTTGCTTCAAATGCAGATGCCTTGGCACAATCCGCTTCTTTAAACTGAAGGCAAAATACTGCGGAAACCTCTTCAGCTCATCCAAACTCCTCTCCATCTCCCAAACCAAATACTCATACTTGGGCCTCAAGTTATCCTCAACACTGTAACCGAAAATCGCCGGAATCCTCGCGCAAATCCTAGCCGACTCGTCATACGACAACCCAATACTCCTCAAAAACTTCATCTTCTTCTGCAGCTTCTCCACCCGCGTGTTGAGAAGGTGCGCATTCAGGGTCGTCGGCGAATTAAGCCTCTCCAGTCCCAATTTCCGGAGATAATCAAGCGTCGGGCGGAGGCAGTACTCGACATTCGAGAAGAGTAGGGCGGGGCAGCGGAGGATGAGGCGGCAGGACTCCTCCGGCAAGGCGGCGACGTCGGAGGCAAGGAAGTCAAAGACAGGGGCAATGCCGGCGGGGTCAAAGCCGGGGGAGAAGAGGTTGGGGGAGAGGAAAGCGAGGCGGGGGAAGTCGGCGTTGGAGAAGCCCTTGGACTTTAAGAAGTCGACGGCGGCGAGGATGCGTTCGACGTCGTCGGGGAGGGGAAGGTTCTTGGGTTTGTCGTCGGCGGTGACAATGCCGAGGGTTTTAAGGTACCGGAGGTTTTCGCGGTGAGATGTACGGAACTTGATGAAGCGGGAAGGAGTGAAAGTTGGAGGAGATGAGGAGGAGGAATGGGGATTGATGGAAGAAACTGAGGAGGAGAAGGAATTGAGGGGAAGAGATAGAGAGGAAAGAGATAGAGAGTGAAGCTGCATTTTTTTTTTCTTTTTTTAAAAGCGGGAAATGTGAATCAACAGAAACGGAGGAATTGTTTGTTTATTTATGAATGAGTGGCGGTTATTTTGGGATTTGAAAAGGATAAGGAAGATATTTCAGATAAGATACTAGTACTAGACTAGAGAAGAGAGTAACAAGATTTTATTTTATCTAAGTACATCAACTCAAATCTTAGGGTTCGTTTGATATAAGAGTTTAAAAGAGAGTGATTTTATTTTTTATTTTGGAACTAAAATCATAATTTATGATTTTTGGTCTAAATCATGATTCTGAAACTAGAATCAGAATCATGGGTTTGAACCACCAAAAATTAAAGAGTGGGTGATTCATAGTTTAAAACATCACATCAGGGTTCAAATCTTGAATCAGAACCATCCAAACCAAACATTTTCTAAGTTAGTCAAATCAAAACCACTTTTTACTTTTTGTAAATAAACACTGGTTTGAACCCAAAATCATGATTTCGGATTTAGAATCCTTATACCAAACAACCACTTAATTTTTTATATAAATTGATGTGACAAATGAGTTGTTGTCTTTTTTATCAGTAGATACAATCTCTTATTATTAATTAACGCGACAATATTTTGAACATCTACTAATATTAAAATGACAACTCACATATCACATTAATTATATAAAATTTAAAATTTGAGTTGATGTCCTTAACATTATTTTTTTATTTTATTTAGGTAAGAAATAACCATTGAGGATAGTTGGTTTGGTAGGTGTCGGTATTCCGTGGTGGAGTGAGTCTTACTTCCATGGAGGGTAATACTATTTTTTTTTTTTTGAAAGAACTAAGGCCTTGTTCGGCAGCTTTAAAAACTTAAAAAAAAGCAGCTCGAGTTTTAACTTTATTCAAGTTCATGTTCTTTTAAGTTTGAACTCGAGTTTGAGACTAAAACTCGAGTTCAAGTTTCCCCTTCAACTCGAGTTCAGAAACTCGAACTCAAATTAATGAACATTATTTTTTCTATTCTTAAAAATGTTATAACTTTTTCATTTTAATCCTGATTGAGATGATTTTTTTCTATGCGTTGACAACGAAAAGACGAATAAAATCCCACCCATATACTCTGTTAAAATTTTTCATCACCATTGAGTTTTTATTAAAATACTATATAAATGCAAATTTAAGTTTTGACTCACTCAAACACAAACTCAAAAAGATTCTTATCTCAAACCATAACTCAAATGTACACAACTAAACACAAATTCAAGTTACAACTTCAACTTAAATTATAACTCAAATTCAACTCAAAAAACGTGAGAAGTATGAAAAAATGCATCACATTATTATGTTTCAAGAGCTAGCAGATATGTATAGTCATAAAGCATATGTTCAGAAAGAAAATCTAGAGAAGAGAGTGTCATTGAGATTTATATAAAAAAAAATTGGGGAAGGAACAACCTTTAAGGAATACTTGAAAATTAATGATTATGTAATTTTAATTTTTGAAAAAAAAATCTTGATGAAAATTTGATTGATAACATTACTCTTTTTTTTTTTTTAATCATCGTATCAAAGATTTTTATATTGAAAACTGATTCGTTTTAGGGAATATCCAGAATTTTTTTTTTCGGTGACTAAAAAATTGCACGTTGGTTGATAAATAAGAAGTATCTAGTAATTCCTTTAACATGGCTTAAAAATAACATTTGTTAAGTGAGTATTTTTGACACTGTTACATGTACCTAATATGATATTCCTGCATAATTTTGACTATAAATGAAAAACTGTAGAATTATTATTTTTTTGTTTAGGATTAATTTTATAAATATTTTTTAAATTTTGTATCATGTTTTAATATACCCCAGAAGTTTGAAAAAGGTTTAAATCACCACCTGAATTATGTACCCTAACTCAAAATATTCTCCATTTTAAAAAACTAATAAAAAGATGATGTGACATTACTTATATTTTTATAAATTCTCCTAAACTAGTGATGTTAAGTCAATATAACCCTTAAATTATAACTTTTGTGTCAATTTACCTCTCGATATTTTAAAAGATAAAATGATACAAAATTATTTGTGACTTATAAGGTATTTATGAAATTATATTAATTTAAGAAGTGTTCTGAACCACTTTTCATATATAAAAGGTAAAATTAACCTTTTCAAAGTTTGAAAACACGTTAGCGTTTGTGAAATTAATTCTTTTTCCTGTATAGTAGAGGGACAAGAGGCACCATTCTAGGGGCATTGTTGTGTGTAGTTTAAATAATTGGTTGGAAGAATAAAAAATAGGTAATTTTTATGGTAGTGTAAGTATTTTTATCCTACCGATAGATACCAATATTTTATTCTTGGATTAACTTTTTAACAGACCATATTAAAAATTTGAGACACATCACACAAAACTGTTTTTTTTTTTAAATAAATAAATAAAACATCATTATCTTTAAAGTAAAAAAGCATGCCCTATCATAAATATTGCCAAATAATATATAAAAAAAAGGAAAAAAAATTTTCGCACATATGAGTGAGGCTAAAATATTGAATAAATAAATAAATAAACTCCTATTGGGACTCAAACTAGTAAATAAACTGTGGCGGCACTATATTAATGTTGTGATTAAAGTGAGTTAAGTTAAAATTCTAGTCAAACTAGACTACGTTCAATGCTCCTCTGTATAAATAGATCGAAATCCCATAAAGAAATTATTATTTTCTTTTTTGCTAATCCCATAAAGAAAATTGCTTGATCAGGAAATCAGAACGCTAATCATCGCAGGTATGAAAACCACCAAGTGATACATATGCATTCGTTTACATATGTAGATATGGATATATGGCTGGTTTATTTTCTTTCCCTTTGTTACTTAATGATGAGACTGAGGGTGTTGAATATATACAAAGGGAATATATGTATGTGTACGTATATGGTATTTTATTTTCAGGTTTTGTTGTTGCTCTGGACAAAAAAAAAAAAAAAAAAAAAAAAAAAAAAAAAAAAAAAACAAACGCATCGACTATATGTTGGCTTTTAAAGTTCCAAAAGATATGAATAGATTTCATTTGCGACATTTTTTGCTAACTATCAACCATATCATGTATTTATTTTTGCCACATTCTTTTTTCATCTCTTATATTTATTGTGTAGCAGTACTAAATATCATTCCCCACGATGCATATTCCTCTGCAGGATTTTGAAGTAGATACTGCGAAATTAATTTGGCTTCGCAATTATATTCACATGATCATGGATCCAAAGCTAATTGGACCCAAAAAGTAGTTGCAAGTTGTGACAACATGAGTACCAGTAACGACTTTGACTGCTACATCTGCTATGAAGTGCGGATTGAGCCAGTAATAACTCCATGTGGCCATCTCTTTTTCTTGGCCTTGTCTTTACAACTGGCTACACAATTTCTCAAAATCCAATCGATGCCCTTATTGTAAAACCCGCATAAAAGAAAAAAATTTGGTTCCCGTTTTCGGAAAAGGAAGCTCAAAATCATCATCATCAGAATATTCTAATTATAGTAACATTCCAAACCGTCTATCAACCAAACAAACTAGAGCTTCTTCTTCACGACGGATCTTGTACTCTTATTGGTGCTACCATGTTCGTACTCTCTATTTAAAAGTCTTTTATCAAGTATTTCTACTCTGATACCATGTTAGCATCATCCTCTTCGTCTTTGACCAAGAGCATTGAGGATGGGATTGCTCCCAAGATGCTCAGTTGTGGCTATATTGTGGGCAGTTACTTCCTAGCACTAATGACGGTAATTTGGGCATTTGGGTTCAGAGATTTCGTAGATAAACTTCGTATGTCGAGATTATTTGCTTTGTTAGCCGTGTTACCCGTGGCAATATTAGTGTTGTTTGTGTTCGTAGTTATTAATATTGTTATTTTTTCATAGGGAAGGAATATAATTTTTTTTTTATTGAATTTACACATATAGCAAAATTTTGATATCAAAAATTTAAATTTAGCAAAAATTTTGAAATATTACAAGAACTGTAAAATTTTATATCATTTTTATGTTATTAAAATAATGAGTGTATCATTATATACTATAAAATATGATATCATTATGATAATTATTATATCATTTTTGCTATATTTATAATATTTTAAAAATTTTACTAAATTTCTGTGAGGTATTTTATTAGTTAGTAATTTATTGGCAATATTGTAAAAATTCAAAAAAATAGGTTCAAGAAGATTTTAGATTGCAAAAGAAGATTTTGAATTAGATTTGAAGTTGAAGTTGCAGATTTTGTTGAGTTGTGATTTGTGGAGATAAGGATTAAAAAGGGTGATTTTAATTTTGAATGGGAGATAGCCTACAAGAAGATATTTGCTTGCAACCCAAGGCAAATTCAGATTTGAATTTAAAGGCATATTCAGATTTGATTTTTAGTGGGATATTCCGATTGCTATTTATGAGGAGAGGAGATAAAGTAATAGCTTGGAGTATTTGAAAGTCTTGGATATATATTGTTGGGCATTTAAATTTGATTGAGCTACAGATGTGAGACTTGTTTTGATTTGGATTAATGGAGCATAATCCGATTTATAGTTGAAGAGTTATCTTCATGTGGTGACTTGTTTGGATTGATATTAGAGATTTGGAGTTTGAATTATATTTGAAGAATAAAGTGAGTGCCGCAAAAGTGGGATGGAAGGAATTGAAATTTTGAAATAGATTTAGAAAATCTATTTGGCGTAATTTTGTTACTTGCTGTACAAAGCAATACTTGGGTTTATATCTTGGATAAATATGCAGTGCAGCAAATTATGAATTATTTTTATTTAAAAGTTGAACGTGAGATAATTGATGAAAATATTCGGATAGAGCAGTTGGTTAAAAAAAGAGATCATTATTGGATATTGATGAAGTTATTTAAAGTTGTCGTAGAGTACAAGTTCTATATAATCGGCTCTAGAATGCTCATTTATGGGGTATGGATTTAATAGAACATCTCTAGAGAAAAAGTCTGTGAATTTGAGAGCTTATTACTAAGAAAATATTCATAGAGACGTCTTTGAGTTTTTGTGAGCCTTGTGAGTTGTTGAGATCGTCCTTCGGGATATGGATGTGTTGCTTTCGGAAGGAAGCTCTGCCGGTCGAATGGAGTTCGCCAGGTGAATAGAAAATGTGCACGCTAAACAATCACTGTGGAGATTCGTCATAACGGCGTCATTGTCTAGGAGGGAGTCCTTGAGTGAATAAGTCCACCTGGTATCTATAATTTCTAGAACATAGTGAAATGTTCACTGTCTGGGCGTGGCCCCGCAGATGTAGGTGTGCGCACCGAACTTTATTCTGCTCGAGCAACTAAACATAATTAACCCGGATCTTAATTAATTAAGCTGTGTTTTAGGCAGTATTCTAATATCATTTAGAACACCAGACGTAAATTCAGATCTATCAATTTCAATTTAAAATATGAAATTTTACCATGTAGTGTAATTATTACTTTTTTTTATAGAAGAGGGAGATAAAGGGCATAAATGTACAAAAGATGAAGCGTATAAATGGAAACACAAATTAAATTATATGACACAAATTATTGTGAAGAAAAAAGAAATAAAGACTAAAGTAGGAAAAAGTATCTAAAGCAAAAGACAAGAAAAAAGACAAAAAAAAAAATTAAAAAAAAAACATACAAAACGTTACATGCACTTAGTTAGCATGTAGGCCTCGTTCGGTTCGCGGATTCGAGTTTTAAATTCGAATTGAGATGTGATTTTATGTGGGAGTTTTTCACTATAGCAAAAAAAGTTAGATTTGACTTTTTGTGATAACTTTTAACTGTAGTAAAACTGTAATTAAAAACTTAAATGAACGATGCCGTAAAATGTTTCACAACTAAAGCTAAAATTTATGAGAATTACAGATAAAAAATGTTTCTATAGGGACACATTTGATCAGAATAAATTAATTCAATAGGGTAAATAGGAAAAAAATATTTTAAATAACCATTAGATTTAAATAAGAAATATTTGAAAATATATAAAAAATCAAATGCTAAAATATGTAAAAAAAAAAAAAAAAAAAAAAGGGGGAAAAGGAAAAAAAAGAAAAAACTAAAAAAAAAGGCTAAAAGAGAAAAACAAAAAAAAAAGAAAAGGCTATAAAAAATAAAAATAAAAAAGGACTACGCCTAGATAAATTATCAAAAGAGTTAATTTTTTTTTAGAGAAATTATCATAATAGTACAATTTTTTTTTTCAATTATTACGCTGGTTGTTTTGAAATATTAAAATTGTAATTGGACTTGAAGTAATTCTAATACATATATTGAGGTGAAATATTATAGCACATGCCAATAATTGCAACGCAAAGAGAAAATTAGTGACTTTGTGTGGGTAAAATTTTTATTATTATTTAAAAAAACCCCACCTATAAGGAGTCAAACGAATTAACGATTGTGAGTGAGTAAAAGTTGGAATCCTTTTCAAACTAGTCTAAGTTGAGTGCTCCTCTATATAAACATATTGGAAACCCATAAAGAAAAATCACTTTTTTTGCTAATTCCATAAAGAAAATCACTTGACCAGGAAATCGCAACGCTCATCATACCAGGTGAAAACCACTAAGTTATACATATGCATGCATATATATATATATATATATATGTATTGTGTAATCTTTCCCTTTTTTACTTGATGATATGATAACGATGGTGTTGAACATATACAGAGCAAATTTATGTATATTATGTACGTATATGGTATTTTATTTGCGGGTTTTGTTTTTGGTATTGAGAAAAAAAAAATAATAAAAAATAAAAAAGAGGAGTCGGCTTAACTATCTGTGCTTTAAAGTTCCAAAAGACTGAATAATTTGTGTCAATTTTGATTTATATTCAGTTGTTTTGCTCACCAAGTACCATATCCTGTATTTTATCTTTTTTCTTCTCTTATGTTGTAGCTAAATAAACTTTACATGATATTGTTTAGTAGTACTAAATATCATTCCCACCATATTCGTCTGCAGGATTGGCTTCACAAAAATTCACATGAACATGGACACAAAGCAAATTGGAGTTTGTCTTGTATCCAAAAGTAATTGCCCGATTGATACGAGTTGTGACAACAATATGAGTACTAGTAACGACTTCGACTGCTGCATCTGCTACCAAGTGCCGGTAGATCCAGTAGTGACTCTCTGCGGCCACCTCTTTTGCTGGCCTTGTCTTTACAAATGGCTCAACAATTTCTCACAATCCAAACAATGCCCTGTTTGCAAATGCCGCGCCGAAGAAAACAATTTGGTTCCCCTTTTTGGAAAAGGAAGATCAAAATCATCATTGTCATCTTTGTCATCAGATTCTAGTAGCAACATTCCCGACCGTCCAATCGCTACAAAAATTATAGCTCATTCACAAACTAGTACTACTACTACTGCTGCTACACATGATCAGAATCATAACTTGGGATCTAACAGAGTCATGACAAGGTCATCTACACAGATTAATACCCGTAGACTAGTACAAGTTCATGCCCTTAATGGTATCGTCTTGGCTGGCTTAGTGGCATTCATCATTTTCTACTTTCTTAACTCTGTAACGACCTTGTCATCAGTCGAGAGTGCGATCGTCGGCGCTCAGATGTTTGGTGCTGGCTACGCTATGGGCGGCGTTGTTGCATTCGTTCTAGTTGTGTTTTCGGACATTCAGATGCGGAGATTGCTTAGCTATGTCTTCTATGTCGTCTTTGTCGACATTCTTGGTTTTGATGGTCCCCACATGGATATTATTACACATGATGATAATTAGTACCCTTTTTTTTTTTTGTTTCCCCCAAGTGCTGATAAAAGGGATCAAGAATCTGATTCTAGGAATTTATTCAGTGGTTGATGTAAATGATTTTTTAGGTGGATGTTATTTTTGAGGTCTTTTGTACTGATTATCATGGCCTCTATAATAATATCTTTTTTTTAATTTGTTTGTTGGTAGAATATGTATCATGTAAATTTCATATGTGCTTTTATTGAAGATTTTTTGCTGAAAGAGCTACACATTGAACCATTGACCCATCCTTGCATGGTATATTTTTTATAAAATCGAATTTCATTCAACCGGGAACAGGGACCGAAAGGCCTACATTACAAAAAAAGGAAGCCAACAAACGAAGGCAAGAAACATACAGAAGCAGAACAAAACAAGGGGAAAAAAAAAATTAGACACATGCTTGCATGGTATAGATTACACATCTTTTTGTCAGTTAAAGTTGCAAATTTAGACCGGGCCAACTGGCAGTCTAAGGCTATTATTGTTGGTCCGGTTCCAGTTTGACTTGCTTCAGTGTCTGAACTAAACTGAAATTTTGAGCCCGAAGTTTATTCAAGCTGCCCATCCTCGTTTTCTAGAAAATCTTTTTAACAATACCTCATAAAGTTTCAAGCTGGCCAGACTTGGTCCTAGACCTGTTGGGCTTTAGAGTTGAGTTAGGCCGGTTCTCTCCCTTTTATCTGGTGAAAATAACAGATCAGACCTAACTGGAGTGGCTTGAACTTTCACCTCTAATCCGTCAGCTATTAAAACACTAACACAAAGCAACACTTGAATAGTGCATGATGAACAATTAGATTATTAAAGTGGATTATAAATACTTTAGAGCCCCATCAGACCCCGTCTGACATTATAACATGCCTTTAAAGAGAAAACCACACAAAATATATCAGACATAATACGTAACTGTTGAGAATGGTGTCCTAAAAGTATGAGATGTAATAGGATATTTAATATTTATTTAATAAAAGAGTTTATTCATTATTTTATGTGCATATATTTATGAATATTTTATGAATATTAATGAAAATTTCATGATTATTTATGTGACCTTAAACGTTGTATATAAGTGTTATATACGAGAGGATAATGTTTAAGGATAATAATAAAAAAAATGATGTTCATAATGAATTTAATCAAAGTTTAAAATCTTCAATTAAAACATTATTAATACATGTCATTCCCATTTAGAATGGAACGATGTTATCCGCATTGTTAATATGGCGAGATAATGAATGAGTGTATTTCGCATAATGAGATTATGTGGAACAAGGACACAAATACAATATGAATTTCTAATAATTTCCATTAAGTATAGAAATTCTAAATTGAGTCTATTGATGGTCATATATAGAATGATTTTAATCTTGAGTTCTTAGTAGACTCCTATTAATAGATTTGTGTCTTTTGATTTACTCGGTACGGATTTCGATATCCTGAATCCTATTCCTTGTATTTTGAAGACATAATGAATTAGATAGCCGGGAATGTTATTATACGAGATGGAATCCATTCCTTCTTGAGAAAGAAGTACATAGATAATTCTCTTTAGGGTTGATTCGGTACTTGGACCAGTAGGAGCTCCGATTTATGAATATGTTTTATGAATCACTGTCCATTAGAGAATCAATGGTACTCAAGGATAAACATGTAATTAGAGAGGTTAAGGGATTTCATCTAGCTCTAATTATGAATTATTTATGGATGATTGATCTATATGCAATGACTACATCACACGGACACTTCACGGTTTAGAAGTAATTTATATCTATAATTACGAGAGTTCAATTCTAAGTTTATATTGGAGTAACTATTGGAATTAATAAGATTAATTAATTAAAGTGTTTAATTAATTATTAATTTTATTGGAGTTTGAAATTATAGGTCCATAGTCTCCACGTCGTCTTTGTAATTCTACAAGACACTTAAGGATAAAATAGGAATTTTAGAATTACAGAATTATAAAATTAAACACTCAAGGATAATTAATTGAGAATTAATTATCATTTAAATAATGTGATTATTTAAATTTGAATTTGAATTTTGGATCACTTATGTGAAGGTGTTCACATAGTGTGAATGCAATGCGCAGTGTGACCATACAGTGTGAACACATAGTATGAACACATAGTGTGAACACATCTAGAATTATTCATTCAAACTTATTTGATAAGTTGTTCTATTTAAAATTCAAATTAATTTAAGTTTGACTTAAATTTGATTTTGAATTTGAGCCAAAATTGGACTGCGGGATAAATGATGATTTTCTCTTCCTTTCCTATTTGATATTGGCGCCTACACAGGGATAAAATCCCCTATCTATGGCCGGCCATTAGTGGATAAAGGAAGGGAGAATTTGTTCCAAATTCAGCTTTATCTTAGAGATGAAGATGAGACTTCTTCTAGGAGTCTAACTACTATTCTATAAATAAGGAGATAGTAGAAAATTGTAGAGACACAAATTTTGACCTATTGTTTTTAGTGTGGCTGAAATTCTCTTAGTGTGAGAAGGAAAAATTTTTCTCTAAAAATTTCACATCGTGCATGCGTTGGTGTTTGTAAAAATTTGAGTGTTTATGTTAACCTGTTTTGTCTCATGTGTGCCCACATACACCTCTTCGTAGATTCTAGGAATTGACGTGGAAGACATTGGTTTTCTAAACACAAGACTTTGGAGCAAAGATTGTTCGTGGTCAAAGAACTCAAGTTATCATCCTAATCGGCCGTAGAGTATAATTCATAATTGAGTTCTTATTAAATAAATTAATATGATTAATTTATTCGTGCATAAATTAATATAATATATGGAGTATCTCAAAAGTTTTGTGAAAATTGTTGGTATAAATGATTCGCTAACCTCACGCTTCACATCCGAATTCGATTCGGAAACTAACAATTGGTGTCACAAAGGTCTATAGACGATATTAATTTATGCTCCAATTATTTAATAATTAAAATTAATATATTAAATATGTGATATTTAATTATGTATGTATGTGATAGGTAAACTCTTACATTTATGAATATTTATATTTATTCATGTTAATAAATGTATGAATGATGAATTTGATCGTTAATTATATGATTTTATAGATTGGTTAAATTTATTTTTTAAATTATTTATAATTTTATTCAATGATTAGAATTATTGTAATTTTAGAATTTAAGTAGATTAGGGGAAATCACCCCGAAAGAGTAACGAGAATATCAACAAAATTTGAGAGAGAGAAACTGCGGAGTCGAGCCGCTGCACTGCCTGCCTGCTACTGCTGTTGTCTCCGCGCAGCACCTGCGCACATGCTACATACTTCTCACGCTCAAGAGAATTAGTGCATGAATGCCACGGATGGGCCATCATGCAACTTACGCCACTTACGCCAAGCCCCTCAATCTTGGGCCGAAAGAAGGACAACCATAGGTCCAAAATCAATAAAAATATATATTATACATAAATATTGTAAGAGTTACAACGTTATTTATATGACATATGATAATATTATCTATATGAAATATATATAATTTATATATTAGTGTATATACGATGTACATATATATAAGTCATATTTATAATCATTAATTATTATTAGATAATAGTTATGATTATCTAATTCTTTTTTCATTGATTTTGGTTTGTAAAAATAATTTAGTAATTTTTCTAATGGTAGAAAAATTATGGGTAAATTATTTTGAAATAAAAAATGGTGAAGAATTATTTGGATCTTTCGGGCCGTCGGGTTTTAGAAACCCTAATTATACGTGTCATTGAACCCGGAAGAGTTTTGGACTCTAAAGAAGGTGAAATCCGACCCAAAGATGAAGAACGAAGCCGATGAATGAAGAATTCAAGAATCGAAGACCCGTTAATGTAACAGAAGAAAATAATTATTGTAATTATTTATTTATTCGATTTGGTTGTAATTATATTTTTCATGGGACGCGGTCAAATTCCATCTCAATAGCCGATTGCATATATTTATATTTTATGTTGATAATTATATATTATATGTCCAAGCATATAACATGTCATATAGATATAGTGTGTCTACTCATATGTTTAATAACATGTCATACATACACGCGCATTTATTATTATTTATTATAAAAGAGTTTTAGAAAAATAAAATAAAATAAGAACCATGCACTAAAATTGATTTAATACGATTAAATTGATTTAAGTTGCAAAATTGATTTGCAAAATAATGTTACATGTGAAATTGAATTTAAGACTTAAATTTTGGAATT